TTCCGATAAATATATCGGAAATTCATTTGTAAGATGCACTTTAGCATACGGTGTACAATACAAATAAATGTGTTTGTTTGGCATATTGAAAAACATCAAAAATTGTTTCGCCAATTATTAAATTATTTCTTTTCATTACATAAACATCAATGCATTTGAGGTGGGAAATATTTTGAAAGACAAAAGTCGAATTCGAAATTCTATATGAATCAGCGGGAAAGGGAACGACCTTAATCTATGTATCGTCTCTTATAACCGAGCACGTTCGCTTGAGCTACGATGTCCGATTGTTTCATGCTCGTCTGCATACAAGGTTCCACCCGAAACTGCTAGCATCCGTTCATTTCGCCGAAAACAGAAAATGATCACTGTTCAATGTCATAATTTTCTTTCGGTCAAATTAAATTAAAGTTAGTAACCGAAGAGCACCGATGATACAGTTTGATTTCTGCACGCAAATGTTACTTTAGTTTGGCGTTGAATGATATATTCATTATTGTCCATAGCGGGTCTTGTGGTCGTATGTATGTGTGAACAACTGGATAATATTGGAGCATTATCAATGGTTATCAGCCAATCACAGAAGATGTTAGTATCACTGAAAATTCACAATATTAAGCAGAATATCACAGATGATTCAGCAGCATTGAAATGGTTTAGCAGTAAACAATCAATGGATGCAATAATGACAAGTCTGAGTCAGCTGGGATAAATGGGGCGAGCAACTTGAACTGAATCAGCATGGAGTTTAAGAATAATTTGCAAACTGATTGATCACTGTTGATCATTCAGTTTTCATATGCGGGTTTGAAGCTGATTCCATTCATAATTTTTTGTGTTAATTCGACGTTTTTCTCGAAATGAAAGTTTTATTTCGTTTCTTTATTGTTAATATTGTTTTCTTCTTCTTTCCAGTTTTATTTATTCTTTTTTCAAAAATATTTTGCACACATAGTGATGGTTTTTTGTAATGATTTTTTTAGCGTTTTTTTTCTTATTTTTAACAAGATGATTTGTCGAAACTTTTTTAAACATTGGCACACAACAACACTTTCGGTTTGGGCTTGGTTGGGTTGTAGCGTAATAATTCTTGATTTTTAATGAAGCGTATAGCGTTAAAAAATGATGATAAATTTATTTTCATCTTTACGTTTACAATAAATGATAAAGAAAGTGTTTTTTTCATTGAAAAGATGCTGAATGGTTCGTTTCTTTTTGTTTTTCTTCTCCTTTTTCATCGCATATTTTGATCAAACACATATTGCAATTCATTTGTTTGCTCGTTCGTTACATTTCACCTCAGATCGTTTATTTAAGATGATAGATTCATCCAAAATCAATCGTTTCTTAAGCAACGCTTCTTGCACTCATTCATTTCAACATTCGAATTTCTCTATGTTTCACTTTCATTCTCAATTACATACTATCGTTAACTTCCAGTGAAAGAGCATATATATTGTATAAGGTAACATATTCTGTTCCTCAATAATATTATGCCAAATAAATCACATTAAAAGATTATAATATTTCAAAGTTTATCGAATTATATGTACTGAGTCCGAAAAAAAACATCTCGTTCAAAACGATTTGAGAGCACTCAAAATGAATCATATTCATTCCAATAGAATTTATTGAATTTCAACGAAATTTCCATTTCGTTTTTATCTATACAAACATTCGACGTTATTGAATTGACTGTATGGAGCGCTGATCATCCCCGATAGTTATATGAATGACTTGAAAGTAATGCCTAATGACGCGTGAATATGCAAGTGGATGGTTTGATATGATAATATAGCATATGTCTCTGCTTGCTCAGTGTTACTGCTGGTATTCGTTTACTCTGCAAATTCTTTGTTTACATCGTAAAAGCGACTTGAATTTGAATAATCGCTGATGATTTACGAGTATTTCAACAATAAGAGTAGTAATTATTATTAATACTGATTGTTACAGTATCAATGATAATACTAATGATAGTGATAATAGTAATAATACCAGCAGTAGCTGAACCATTATGACGATGTTAAATCCAGCTGCTCCAATTGAACATTAGTGTTCGAAAGCAAATCGGGTATATTGGTTGGTTCAAATGATTGTATTCAATATTTTCATTGATTTTATTCAGTAGTTTGCGAAGCTTCGAACGATTGTATGAAATTGCATTATTACTATTATTTTTTGCTTGAATTCGGTCAGAATTTTTCTGTTGTTCTTCTTTTTCTATTATAAAGAGAAAATTTCATTTTTGATTGGAATTGTAATATTTGTTGATTTGTTGTTGGTTTGGTTGGTGCTATTGTTATTACTGTACACAAGCAATGTTTTGCTATTTGATGCATCATTCTTCGTGTTGTTGTCTTTTCGTAACTTTGTTCACTTTTTACGTTTTCTGAACACGACTAACCGCATTTTTCTTTTCGATCAGCCTTCTCTTTCATTGAACGTTCATCTGAATCAAAAAAAAATCACTTTCATTTTCGTTTTTTATTTCCCAAACTTTTCGTTCCACCATTTAACAAAGCGATAAATAGTTCGATTCAAAAACCACATCTCATATGAGAAAATTTTTATTGTTTCAGTGACTTTATTTT